TAGAGGGGTAGAGCACAGCTCTCCTGATGCTCAGTTCTATGCTGTTACTGTTAGACTAGCCCATGCTGCTGCTTAACCTGATATAACCATATCAGTCCAGGGATAAAAAACCTATAGCCTAGATGGACCAGTTAAATGCAATTTTATCCAAAGAAAATTCACTAGAAAAGATGAGCTCTCTGTTCAGGGGCCAGCCAGCTACTCTGAGGCATGACCACCAGGGGTCTCCCTAAGAGCTTTTAACAAAAAAAGTTCTTCGGCTAGCATTTGCCACTCTCAAAGAGGAGAGAACAAACTGTTCAGGGTGGCTGTGCCTGAAAACTCCTGGTGAGGGGGCACTGTCAGATTCCTGGGATAGAGAGGACAAGAAGAGAGGAGCTTCCTTGGACGAAGGTCTTAGCTGGATTGTTTTTTTCAAACTCCCAGTCTTATGTAAGGCATTTGCTTTCATAATCAAGGCAATGGCGTCTGCTGCCTGGAGTCACCTGCCGTTCAGAGGCGTATCTTCTGATCTCCCTAGCTTGGAACCGAATGCAAGTCAAAACAAAGGCAAGCAGCACTAGGAATGATCGTCCAAGCCCAGCAAGCGGATGAATCTGCCAGGGATAAAGATGGTGCATCACTGTGTTAGCATGGGCCCTGCTGATTAGGTGAAGCTCCCCGTCCTGCCAAGAAAGCCTGGCCCTCGGCAAACAAGGGGACCGGCAAAAGGAATTGAAATATTTTAAAATGCATTTCAGATCATCAAAACCTGCCAAATGATTTCATAAAGGTGGCTTCTGCTCTATATTCCATGTGCTATTCCACCTCTGGTCACTAGGCCTGGATCACCCATTAGCAGAGGATATCGTCAATGGGAGATATGTGCCTGCACCCACAGCAGACTGGACCCCTCGGCTCAGCGCTAGAATTCTCCGCCTCCCCGCTCCTGAGCAGTGCCAGCCTGATGACCCCAGAGACTGGAAACTTCCCACGCACGGTGCCTGGACAGAGCCCTAGCTGGGTGCTAGTGGGATTCCCTTCTAAGAGGGGGAGGGGAATCCAGTCCCTGTGACCCATTTGATCCTTAACCTTTCATGCCAACCAGGGCAGTAGCTGGCGGCAATGGTGATGTCTGTGATATGGACACTTGTGCCACCTGGAAAAATACTAAGAGCCACCGTCTCCATTCAGACCAGCCCTTTAACTGCTCCATCGAAGGGCAATGACTTTGGGGAACTATCAGTCCTGTTAGATTAGAAGTAGTCCCCTAAACTCCTGATTCCTGTACTCTGCAGCCCAGGGAAGGCACACTGTTGCTCTGGCAGGATGTGGGAATGAATGTCCATTGCTCGAAAGAGGGGGGTGGTAGCTCAAGCCATTGGCAGTCCCCAGTTTGCTTAAAAGATACATGTTTCTTCACGTATGTGTAAGAGTGAATATACCCCCCTGGCTTTCCATGAGCCGACAGCAAAGAGAGCTATCCCCGGTAGTCATTTGGGGGTTAGAAGGAGGTGGGGCTCGATGCCTGACAGTGACTTATTGCACAGGGCAAACACATTGCATAAGCCACTGGGCTGCCTGTGAAATACTATTGCAGCCCCATCCCGGGATCTGGCTTTCTATAACACGGGTTTGGATGCAATACGCCTTTAAAGGTCGCTCTTTTCTTCCCTGGCCCAGTGTGCTCTGATGATACAAAGGGGGGGTTTTCTAGTGGTTACAGCACAGGGGGCGGAGTTGGGAATCTTTGTATGCTAGGAGCACTCTAAAGGCCCCATCACACGGGGTAAGGGCTCAAGTGAGCTGAGGCAGGTTTTGTTTTGTTTTATGTGTATAGCTTAAGGTGCAGCGCCAGTTTGGCAGTAACATACGTTATCCGACAGTGCTTACTC